CGGCCATGCAAAACACCACTATGCTGGACGCAAGTGGGGGAGAGAAGTGTGCTAAGACCGGACATAGTGGAAGAAACCACAGAAAAGATTAAGTTTCTAAGAAACAAGATAAAGGAAGCACATGATAGACAGAAGAGTTATGCGGATAGAAGGAGGAAGGACATCGAGTTTGCGGTCAGTGACTGGGTGTACCTTAAGATGATAACATTTAAGGGACGGGAAAGGACGTCTAGAAGAGGGAAATTAAATCCGAGGTACCTTGGGCCGTTCATTATCCTAGAGCGGGTAGGAGCGGTTGCTTATAAGTTGGATCTACCCAAGGAAATGGCTGCATTCCATAATGTGTTCCATGTATCCCAACTCCGGAAATGTTTAACAGATCAAGATGTGATCATTTCCGAAATCCCATCGGATCTAATGGGGAATCTCACGGTTGAAGCTAGACCAGTCCGAATCATTGATCGGATGGAAAAAGTAACCAGGAATAAAGTGATCAAGATGATCAAAGTGGTCTGGGAATGCAATGGAAAAGAAGAAGAAGTTTGGGAAACGGAAAATAGGATGAAGGCTGAATTTTCCGAATGGTTCAAGAATCTTCCAAGAGAAGATCGAAAAGAAAAGGCTGTTCAATCGATAATCCTTGTTTCAGATTCGGGGACGAATCCCATTCAAGGGGGGGGGGAGACTTGTAACGGCCCCAAACCTCGCTAGGTTCGCTGGGCTGGGCCATGGTCGGGAATGGGGAAAAGACTTGTCGGATAAAACGAATTAACCTGTTCCATGGCCCGGAAGGGAGGGCTAAGTCCGGGAATGATAAAGGACTTAGCTAAGGAAAATAGTAGAAGATTGAAGGTCGGGAAAAGTTAGCCCGGGATGTTCCAAGTTAGCCCGGGATGGTATAAAGTTAGCCCGAGATGATAGTAAGTCCGGGATGATTCAAGGTTAACACGGGATGGCTTGATCCAAACTAGCTCGGGGTGCTTCGAAGGCTGAAATAAACAAGTCCGAGCTAAGTTCAAATACTTGAGCTAAAACGAGCTGAAGGGACTGAGGTAAACCAGCTCGGGCAGCTAATGGGTTTCAGCTGAAGGACCGAGCTGAATCAGCTCGGATACTTGACGGATCCTCAGCTAAAGGACCGAGCTAAATCAGCTCGGACAGCTAAAGTTGAGCTCGGGCAGCTGGACGAAGTGATGGTCGGCTGAGTCAGCTCGGGTACTATTATCACTAGCTGGTCGGGTAGTGAAGCTAGTTGGTCAGCTAGTTAAGCTGGCGAGTGGATGATCGGTTAAGGTAGGATCTCGCACGTACTAAGTGTGTGGCACGGTTATATCCGAACGGACATGACCGTTACCGAATGGGGACGTGGCACCCCTCGGTTTAATAAGACTGTTATGGGCGAGAATCCTATAAATAATCCTCGATCATCTTCTTCGCGGACACACAATCTTTTCACGGGATTTTTCCTGAAACACAGAAAAATATCCGAGAGCGAGTAAGAGCAACCGAGGGAGAAAGGAGATAACGCCGAAAGTATTGGGCGATTGTCGGATAACGGGAGGATCGCCGGATTGCAACTGAGGAATCTCCGAGGAAGAGACTTACCGAGGGACGTTCCAGCGATGGAGTCTTCTACGGAGAGGGATGTGGAGAAACACACCGAACCGTCCGAACGTACGGCGAAGGTGAGCGCGATGCCGAGTAACTTAGCCGGGGAATTCCCTAACTATCGACGATAGCCGAGACAGTATGGGACGGCTATGCAGTTATTCGGCCAAACTCTCTATTTCATCGGTTATATTCTTGTATCTGCTTGCCGATGAGGATAGATCAATCTTTAGACGGTCGGATCTAGGATGCGTGACTAAGACTGCAGTCTATCACGGCCGGTCAAGTCAGTTCTCGATAATCTCGGCTATTTCCCCAAGTAGTCGCGGTTATTGGTGAACGGCTATGACTAAGGCATATAACCGGTTACGGCTGGGAAGGAATCGGATATCCGAGGAAACTCACGGATCCAGCGAGCGGCTTGGGGATCGGATGAAATCCGCCAAGACTCGACTGTAGCCGAGAGATAACTCGGGTATTTCCTAGATAGCCGAAGGCTTAAGGGATTTCCACGGGATAAACTTAAGGGTCGGGAACATATAGTCATTGATAGGCGATTATGTATAACTTAGTAAAAGTTGGATTACTTACGCCTCTTTGATTTCAGGAAAGGATGGTGATCGTGGGAAGGACTTGGCCTAGGTGCGCGAGACACGGGCTAGGAAGGATGGGTGGTGATAGAATGGGTAGAATAGGATCGAACATTGTAATAGCCTATAGTGCAGACTCTATCAATTGTATCGAATCCTTTGTTATATAAATAAAAATCCAGTTTATCGTTTAATCTATGTTCATACTGACTCTATTACTTATGAATCTCAGAATACTCGGATAAATGAACTTCTTTAAAGAATGGACCCTTAAAAATGGACTGATCGGGCTTGGATCACTTACTGATCCGAGTGGGAACAACCTCTCGGACGTAGTAGCCGGGATGAGGTGTTTCAATTTTAGTTGGAAAGAGACAACACCGGAATGGAAACTGTCCTGGTATGCACCTAGAACCAGATGCGACGAATACAATGTTTGTGGAGATGATGGAGTTTGTGATTCAAGGACGTCGCAGTGATTGTGCTTGATAGGATTCATGTCCATGAACAAGACGGAGACTGTAGCAGGCCATGAAGCAGAAAGGGTTCAATGTTCCAGGAACTCAAATCTGACTTGTGATGGAGATGGATTTATTAGGCTAACCAATGCAGAAAGGAAGCGTACATTTCTATATCTTTATTAAGTAGCTAAAAGTCTTTCTTTCTTACATTTCCTTATGGAGCCTACTCCTCTGTTTTCAAGAAACTCTGCTTTGACCTAGACCTGACTGTGCTTGTCTCGCAGACAAAGAGAAAAGTTTGGAACTCAAATGGAAAAGGAGACTCGAGATTCTAAAGAGCACGGCTAGAGGAATAATGTATCTTCACCAAGATGCTTATGTCACAATCACCCATGGCAATTTGAAATGGGCCAACGTGCTGAATAAGTTATATTTTGCTTAAATTAAAACAAATTAAACATTGTTATAGAATAAGTTATAGGAAACATAAATTAAAACAAAATAAAGCATAAGGTATGAATAAGTTATATAATACATAAATTAAAAAATAAACATTGTTTTATTTTTTACTTATATTTTGCTTATATAATACTTAGCTTTTTCTTATTATTTGTTTAATTTTTGCTTTTTGTTTTACTTAACCTTTTTTGTTTTAAATATTTTAAATTGAGATGTTATATTTTGATGAAATAAGTTTATTTGGGAGTTATTATAAAAATTTAGTGGTTTCGTTAGCACAGAGGCCATATCGGAAAAAAAAAACTGTTCAACTTTGATTTTTGATTTTTGATCTTTTAACTTGGTAACATGAGAATGCACAAGTGTTTGTTCATTTAGAAAGTTTCGTTTTTTTTAGCATGAAAGTCTCGCTTTTTAATGACATGAAACAGAAAAATATGTTTTATGTTTGCGTTGTTTAGTTGATTTTTAACCGTGGATTGTTTCATTTTAGTACTATTTGACAAAAAAATTGTATTTCTTCTTATGAAATACAAAGTACTGAGCCGCTCAAATTAACAATGCTTATTTACAAACTAGACGTGGAAAAATCGGCGAACATAAAAAAGCTAACTAAATATATAAAAGTTAAAATACATAAAATAATATATATGAATAGTGGTGAAAGAGAAACCAGCCTTACACAGATGGCAATCTCAAACTAGCTACCTACGAAAGAGAAATGAAGTAATATGGTCTCCAATAACAATATTACTTACACTGGTTTGTATAAAACCGGGGATCAACTGTTATAGCAAATATGCATTACTCAGGAAAATATTTTTAACAATTTTACTTGGTTAAATATCTTCATTAAAAATATTTTTAATGTTGGTTAAGAGTAACCAATATTTTTAATGTTGGTTAAAAATATTATTGGAGTTACTCTTAGTTATCATTTCTAGCAATTCAAGTATTCCTGTTAGGTTTTAGAGTTTTGAAGAAAATTCATGAATTGATAACTAAGAGTAACTTCAATAGCTAGATACTCATTTGAGTATCTTAACCAATATAATACTAATAATTTTTATATAATTTTATTTTCTAATTAATTAATATATTATTTTAACCAATCATAAGGAAATAAATAGTAGAAGAGAGTATCTGAAGTTTCTGATTTAAGAGACTCATCTCTCTCTTTCATCATTTTCTATTATTTTACTTTTTTTAAAAATTGAGATATTCTCTTAAAAACCCTTAATGGAAGTGGTCTAAGTTGTTAGATAAGATAGGGAATTATCTGTAGGTTTCTTTGTTGAAGTGGCTGAGACGTGGTGTTGAAGTTTTTGGGTGAAAATATTATGATTTCCGTTTGTTAAGAGAGACGCAGAAGAGTATCTTATTATATATACCAGAGAAGTAGGGTTAGTTTTATCTAGGAACCTAAACAGATTCTATATTTTGAATATTTTAATTGAAAACAAATGAAAATTAAAATATAACTTTTAGATTTAGATTTTGTGTTTTCAATATATTTTTTTCAACAATTCTATTTATTTTTAAATTATTTTAATGAATTTTTAAATTTTTTATTATTATAAATTTACATATATGCAGATCATAACCTAGAAAAATATAAACGGATTGGTATTGGAATTTTTCACACACACAAATTTGAACCGATTAATCCGATTTTGAAAATACACAAAGATAAATTAATGAATTAAGAATAAGTATTTACCTAAATCAAAAAACCTAATCGAACGGAAACTGAAATAACTTGGTGACAAAATTTAACCAAACTCATAAGAACTTTCTTGTATCTTACGCTATCCAACACTGCAGTTTCTGTATGCAGATGAGGATAACTTGTGTCCGAAGAAATTTCGATAACATAAATAACTCAAGGACAGATAAAATGGAAGATGCACCGAGGAATCAACAGAGTAATCGAAACCTCGTCCACTGAAACCGCAGAATCCTTGTCTTTAGACTTATTGAAGTATCTGTCTGTAGGTTTCACCGAGAGAGGGAGAGTGACGAAAGCAGCTTCTCTAGGTTTAGGTATTGTCAGAGTACCGTCTCTTGCAAGCCCAACTATTGCAGAGTTTATGGTTGGTATTGTTGCTGCATTCTCTTGAACACACAACAAACCAATCTGAATCAACTATATGGTCTCGTTTATCGGATGTTCATTTAAGTAAGGATCGATTATACTCTCAGGCTCTCCTTCTACCCATCTCCTCCATGCCCATGCCTGAATCAAAAGAAAATGTTCTTATACGTTTCTTTGCAGAAATTGAGAAGGTAACAAGAAAAGAGAAAATGTGATCAGAAAGATTACAAAAGCTGGAAGTCCTTCTGTTTCGAAGTTCTTGTTTCTTTCACCACTTATCATCTCTAAAAGCATAACCGAGAATTTTTCACGTTTTTAGTTTGGCTTTAAATAAAGAAATGTTGATTTGCTAAAGATTTTTTGAAACTCAGACAAGAATAGAGAAAGAGAGAGAAATACCTATTATCATATCGTTTTCACCAGTGGAGAAACCCTGACTTTTTAACTTTTGCTAAAAGGAACCCTGACTTTTAATGTTGACGAAAGAGAAAGGAAGAGACTTTTCTCTATCATAACGTAAACGACTCGTCGAGAACTTCATTTTCCTTAAGTGCATGCAATGTTTGCTCAAGACTTCAACATTTGGAAATAACGATATCGTTTCCTATATTTATTATGTAACGTGTTGGATCAGCAAAAAGAAAACTGAATACATATGTACTCTCCTTGGACCAAAAGTCTAGTAGTGTCGTTTCAAAACTAATTAAAAAAATCTTATATTAAAGTATTTTGAAGTCATGTACTCTGAACGAGCACACGATTATTGACATCAAATCAAAAGACTTCTTAAACAAAACAAAGAAAACCTGATTAGATTTAAAAAGAATCTCATATAGGTGCGTGGAAGCCTACGGGGCTACAGAAAAATAAAATAAAATAAAAGGTAAATAAATAATTATATTTTTAAAAAACAAATAAATAATATCTAAGAAACTCTAAAACGTAAAATATATGTAGGCAGAACAGGCCGGGTCCAATATATGGTGGAGCAAATCAAGAAAAATTTGAGGTGGTTTTCATATTTGTAAGTCCAAACCTCAGATTATTCAACTTTATAAATACTAGGTTTTTCATACGCAGTATGCGCGAGTATATACTATAAATGATTTAATAAATATTTTGATTAAATAATTTTTACATTACTTAAAATATAATAGTAAATTTTTTTATATAATGTTTGGTAATAAAAAAAATTATTTAGTGTTTTCTCTGAAGTTGATTTTTTAAAAGTTTTATGATTATTTATAAATTTTAACTAATATGTATTTTATATTATGAATTCATCATAATATAACTATTTACGATATGTATTGTCTATTTTGTTTTATCTTTAAAAAATATTAAAATAATTAACCAGTTTAAATAGGAAATTATATTCATTTCAGGTATTTAAAATTGTTTTTGTTTTCTTCTAAATATTATTACTGGTAACAATTTTATTAATAGACAAATCACACAAAAGGTAGTTATAACTTTTTTATAAAATAACAAATAAAATTATAATGTTTTTTTTATAACTCAAGGAATCCCAGGCCTATCGAAGGACCCAGACTAATCCCTGGGGGAGGTGCAACCCATGGATAGACTCTCTATCCGGGATTCAAATAGGACAAAAGCAAATGCCCTTATCTGTGTGGCCAAATGAGAATTGCTAATAATTCCACGCTTTAGGAGAATCGATCTCTGACCTAGACCAACAGGGGAACTCCTCCTCAAGTGAGAACCACTAGACCCCCACCACTTGGTTAAAATAAAGTTTTGCAAACCAAATGACCTGAATTCCATAAGTAAATTTTGTTATCATATCATAAATTGATCGTGTTAATTTGTTATCGTGATACCCATCGTGCCAACCTTCTTTATCATTTAAAAAACTATGAATTATTGATTAACTAACTTTGTTAACTTTACAATTTATACAAAATTATTTTGATAACCACTTACCTAACAATCACCAGCATTATCACTAACATTATTGTTCCTGACATCCATTCGTGTTAATGTCGCTGCCATCACTATCATTACTATCGGCACCAATATGTTATGGTGACCACTATCGTCATCGTCTTCACTACCGCAGTATCACTGTTACCAGTGCTAATATTTTTGTCGCCGATAGTATCTTCTTCTTTCTTTCTTTTACAATCGTATTTTTAAAATAAATAGTAGATAGAAAAATTGTCAGTTTTTGTTCCTAAATTGTGAGATTATTAGACTCCCTATAATGCAATATCTCTTTCTAATTAGAAAAGTTATTTTCATCCATATATTATAAAATATATATTACAAAATATATAATCTGTTATTTTCTTTTAACACATAAAAGTAATACATCAACTTTCCACAAATATGAATTGCAAAAAGGTCAAAATTGCATGCGAACTTGTCGTGCATACATTTTTGCTAATCTTGATTATAGTCCAATTCTAATGTTAATTATTAGACAACTTATAACTTTTTAAAAATATTTATCTATCCTAAGAACGTTAAGATGGTTGGTAGGCATGCATGTACGGGCCAACCATCTACTGCTCTTAAGATAAGTAAATATGGTAAAACACATATTGGTCTAATTAGCAATAAGTCAAGAAAAAATATATACTTAAAATATATATGTATTAGCAAGATTATATTATATAAGAGAAAATAAAGCATAATATAAATAATATTAATAAATTAATTATAAGAATTTAATTATTATTTAATATAACTTTTATATTTGAAATTATAGAAAAATTAATTTTTTAAAAATAAATCAGTTTCAAAAGGTACAAAATGATATGAAACGTTTGTATGATTGTTGTTAAACACTAAATCTGCATCTGTATACAAATATAACGTTTGCAGAATGTATAAAAAACTAATTAACACTTAAATAATAGAACTAATTAATATATCTATCGAACAAATCATATTCGTACATGCGTCCGGATCAATCACCTTATTTTTGAATTATTTGATGCGTGCTAATTATTTACAGATATGAGTTTTTCAACCCTAAAAAATAAAATAATTTACGCACAACCATGTTATAAGAAGGACAAAATATGTTAGCTATCGCTCATAAAAACATACTACATTTTGATGAAAATAAGTATGATGAAAATAAGTATAATGATTTTGGCGATTAATTGCAATTCTAAAAGTGTGATCAATTACATCATTTGGAAGCGCACAGAATAATTTTGGTATTCTTTTAACCTACTGTAAAACTTAATTGTTCAATGCAGTTGCGCAATTAGACATTTGTTTTACCGGGGTTAATATTATATAAAATATTAGATAAAAAACTACGTTACAAAAATAAAACATATAATATATAATTTTGATCATTTTTATCATTAAAAATATAAATTTATAATTTATTTTAAATTAGTAAGCCAAATTCTTATAATGATTTGTAGTTAACATATACTAATAATTAAATTTTAAATTTTATTTAAATTAACTACATGTAATAATAAATTCAATCTTTATCGTTATTTTACCCAACTGTTATTTATCGTGTTAAAACTAAAATTAATATATAATTATTTCAATATATTTTAAAAACATTAAATAAACTCGAGAAATTGCAATGTGGGGGGGGGGGGGGGGGGGGGGGGGGGGGGGGGGGGGGGGGGGGTCTAATAATCTGACAATCTATCATATTATTAATTGACAGCAAATTGGGTTGTGGTTGAGAGTTATAATAGTTGATTACCTTTTGTCCTTTATGTGAATTTACTTTAATTACCCTTAATAAAATTAATAAATTGATATAATCTAATTTTTAACTGATTTCGATTTTTTTAATCTAGATTTCCAAATTCGAGTTTAATATCATAAAAATATTCAGTTTACTAAATAAAGTAACTAGCATATATATATAACAAAAACCCTAATTATTTCATTGAAGTAATTTTAATTTGTTTGTTTTATTTACTAACATTTTGACTAACCTAATTGATTTATGCGACCACAAGTAAAATCTTAAATAATTTAAACCCTTTTAAAACTCCATTTTGGATTGCTATTTTATTTTTAATGCAAACTTTGAATTTCATTATTCTTAATCTACCAATTTACATCAAAAGAAGATAATTATTTATCATGTTTGATAAATGCAACAAAACAACAAAGCATACATATAAGTTTTTATCGGATAATATATAAGATATTCAAAAATAAGATATAAATAATATATTTTTCTTTATCAAAAAAAACAATATACTCATAAAAATTATATTTTTTCAAATATATTAAGTTTTATTTTGAATCACTATAAAATCTGATTTTTATTTATCTATAAATAAATTAATGTTCTACTTTTTAAAAATTTTAATTGAACCCTGCACAAGGTGCGGGGAAACACCTAGTAATATATAAATGTTGATGGCAAAGTGCATTGAGGACGTCCACATAGGACGAAAAAACTCAATATGATTGGTTTGCATCATTTTTTTTTCATTAATCAAAAAAATGTTAAATATGATTAAGATGAAAAAACTCAATATGATTGGTCAACATCAGCGTTTTTCATTAAACATAAAATGTTAAATTTGATTAAAACATTACAAAATTAATTTCTATTTTTTTAAATATTAATTTCGTTTTATATATGCAAAAATCAAAATAAAAACCTTAAGTAACAAATAGAAAAGAAATTAATGTTAAAAAACAAATATAGTATCCTTCAAAATTAAATGGAAATATAATGTCAAGAGAGTTAACCTAACAAAAATAAACCAATAATGTAAAAGCTAAAACTTATAATATAGATTAAGAAAATTTCTAATTTTAAATTAGTTGACAAAAAAGAAAAAACATTAATTTTGTGTTATAGATGGAAAAATCATAATAAAAAAGCTTAAGGGGGTGGGTGTATTGAAACTGAAATTTTAGAACATTTTGTGGTTATTTTAAGATTCCATGTTATTCAACTAATGATTTCTAACTGTCTTATTAAAATCTATGTTATTGAACATGAAATTTATATAAAACCAATTAAAATCACTTCAACATCCATGTTATTCAATCAAAAATTTGTAAAAACTAAATCACATCCACTGTTATTGGAAATATTTTAAATAGTGGATTTTACAAAATATTGAGTACTTCTGAATGATTTGGTGGAGTTTGTTAGTTAAAAATATAGAAAAACCAAATCTCATTGTTTTAGGTGGGATTTCATATAAAAATTATATCAACTTCCCTAATCCACAAAAAATCATCCAAAATTTCATTAAAACTCAAATCTTTTCAAATACTCTAAAATTTTAGTTTCAATACACCCCATAAGTAACAAATAGAGAAGAAATTTATGTTAAAAAACTAAAATATAGTATCCTTCAAATTTAAATGGAAATTTAGTGTCAAAAGAGTTAAACTAAGAAAACAAAAATCGATATCGTAAAAGCAAATTAAATTAATATATAAAACAAAGAAATTAACTTAAAAATTAATAGAAAAATTAATTAAACAAAAAAAGTATTCGTATAAAAGAAATTAAATTGATGTTTATGCTACATATTTTGAAAATCAATAACAAAAGATCTTAATAAAATAAAAATAAGTCCTAAGTATATCAACTATATAAAAATTGTATAAATTAGAACAAAATATAAAATTACTATTAAAAGATGTAAAGTATCAACAAAATAATTAAAATAAAATTAATTTGAAATTATGGAGACCATGAGAATAACTTGGGAATATCGAGAGACGGAGGAAGAAGAATATCGTAGTAGGTGGCTCAAGAGCTATGAAACAATAAAGAAGTTACGCGCTAAATAAGGCTTACAAGTTTTTAATAATAGTTTGCCATTGTGAAGATAATATTAGTTACATTATTTTATTCCAGTAGTAAGTTGATTGATAATATACAATGACAAATTATTTATTTATGCTATAATTTTATATTTTATCCAGATAAATATTTGTATAAAAATTATATCAGCATATCATACCAAGTTCGAAGAAATTGATTTAGATGATATAAAAATAATAATATAACTTATCATATTGAAAGTAAATTTATAATTTTTGAAACATATATTAGAACATTTAAAAATATTTATAATTATGTTTATGTTTTTTCGACAAAAATGTTGAATCAACTACTGACTATTTGACATGGTAAGTACACTCTCATGCACATACATGTCATACTTTAATATCAAACTAAACTATTTCAAGGCTACTATGATATGATGAGAAATTAAACATATTTTTATAAAACATTTTTTAAAAAAAATTTTAAAATTTTTTTAAATGTTATTAAAAACATAAACATTTATTACAATTTTAGGACATTTTTATAAATAGTTATGTTTTTTTAGCTTTCAACATGTTATAATTTACTATCTTGATATTTTGGCTAACATTTTTAATAATCAACATAAAAAATTTAACTAAAAAAATGATGCTATACGATTTTGAGAAATGTTCATAAAAAAATTAAATTGCACATTTAAAACGTGTTAAATGAGCATTATAACTAAATTTAAATTAATATAAAAAAACAAATTTAACAAAGAAAAAATATTCGTATAAAAGAAATTAACTTGATGTCTATGTTACCAATTTTGTTGGAAACAACAAAAGAGCTTAATAAAAACAAATATAAGTCATAAGTATATCAAACGTACAAAAACAAATTATATAAATAAAAATAAAGTATAAAATTACTATCAAAAGATGTAAAGTATATAAAAAATTATAACAAAATTAATTTGAAATTAGTTTCAAGAAATTCATAATTTAACAATAAATAACTATCTAAAGTTGTAACAGGTTTACAGAAGTAAAATATATAATGATTAATACACTGGGTGTTTCAGATTTTAAAAACTAACAAAGAAAAACACAACATAAATAACCTTACATTCAAAATTTAACATGTTCTAAAATCTGATTTTTATACATAGTTACTACTTATATCTGAACCAACATTAATAACATATGAGTAATACATTCTAAAATTTTATTTAAATAATAAAATATGAGAGAGAGTTATGAATCAAACTCAAATTGGTATTTGTAGATAAAATATTCAAATCAAAGCATACAGATTGCACACAAAATATAAAAATAGTGAAAAATAATGCGAAGACTCCACACCGCCGATCTTACAAGTATAAAAACTAAAATTATCAAATATTAGACTGCAAAACATAGATCTCAATGAAAACTGAATAAAGATATAAGCTAAAATTCATGATGACCTGGTGAAGAAGGAAGAAATGGCTTTGCATGATCATTGCAATATCCTAACAAAACTAAATGCGAATCAACATGAATCATGGATTATAAATGCATATGTACATAACATCACATTTAATAAAAAAAAATAAATATTTAAACACATAAACTTTAAAGAAAAAAGAACTGTAGAAATCCTATGAAAACCAAAACAAAATACCAAAATCTTAGCAAAAACAATTTTCTCTAAATCAAACGTATGTATATGTCAAAGTTGGATAATTTGATAGGTGTTATTGTTATTATTTCACATAATAAAATTTAAAATTTTATAAAAAAGAAATGCGAGAAAACTACACATTATATTTTAATTTCTCTTATATAAATGATTTTTTTATAAATCTATTATAGTTTTGATAATTTACAAGATAATACCTTAAAAAATTAAACTAAACTATTAATACAGACTCGCGCGTAGCGCGAGTTATAAACCTAGTTAAGAGACAAAAACTGACAACTTTTTCTGGTTACTATTTATTATAAAAATACATTTGTAACCTTACTAACATGTATTGCAATATATAAAAAAAAGAATATGATAATTAAGAGACAAAAACTGACAACTTTTTGAGTTACTATTCATTTTTAAAAAAGGTTTGTATCATTACCCACATATATTACAATAAATTAAAAAAGAATCAATTAAGAGATAAAAACTGACAACTTTTTCTAGTTACTATTCAATTTAAAACTAGGACCACCTGACTTATCACAATTTGCGAAGTCAATACTAAGTTGAGGTCACCTGACCTAAAAACTTTTGACTGGATCACAATTAAAAACTATGAAAAAAATTTGTGAATAACTAAAATTTACTGGGGTCACCTGACCTAGAATACTATTATAAGCAAGAAAAAGTATGAATAGTTTCTTCTTTTATACAAATGTGACCGGGAAATTGCTCATTTAATTTCTCAAGTATTTGCAATCGGCAAATTTATTCCCCAACTATCATGTTTGCAGATTAAATCCTCAACTTAGTATTGACTTCGCAAATTTAGGCATGAGAAAAGTCAACGTTAATGAAGAAACGAAAACGTTACCGAAAACGTTACCGTTGACTTTTCTCAGTCTAATTTTGTAAGGTCAACATAAACTAGAGGAATTAATTTGCCAAATTAAAAGTTAGGGAATTAATCTGCACAAATAAAACAACTTGGGGAATTAAATGATCATTTTTATTTAGAAAATTATGATTATTTTCATAAATCAAAATTATTTGTAGAATACCATCAAATACATTTTTTTTACTATATTATGTTTTCTAATAATCATAAATCATAGTTATTTGTAGAATACCATCAAATACTTTTTTTTAAAAAAAATTATTTTTATTATATTATGTTTTCTGTTTAAAATTTCATTGATATTTGATCAAAATTACAAAATCAGTATACATAACTTTCGAAACATAAATAACTTAAGCAGATATATGTGTTCTTAAAAATTTCAGGACTCAGGATGGGAATTGGAAATATGGGAATTCAATAAGATGAAACGGATTTGGAAAATTTTCTTACCCAAAATCTCTTCTAAAACTCCGAGTAATTTGGGTAAAGATCAACTTCAAGACGTTTATTTGGATAATTTCAGAGAAATTCAGAAAATTTTGGAAAAATTAACAGGTAATTAAGGTATATGATCTCTTATCCTTTCTTTTTCTGCACATATTTGAATAAAATAAATAATCATGATTGATAGGAGAATAATAATCGGTTGATAACCAAATACTACCATATACTGAAAAAGATAGATGAAAATAAGATAATTTGATGAAAATTATTTCTTCTAATGAGGGACCATACCAATGACCGTATGATAGAAGAATAATCATTGGTTGATAACCAAAAAATTTGCCAGTAAAGAAAAAAATCACTGGAATTAAACACACATAATTTTTAAATTTTATTCATAACAAAGAAAATATAATATAATAAAAATAATATTTTAAAAATAATTATTTGATGTTATTCTACAAATAATTATGATTTATGAAAATATTCATAATTTTCTTAATAAAAAATGATCATTTAATTCCTCAAATTTTTGTCATTATACAGATTAATTCTCCAACTTTTAATTTGACAAATTAATTCCTCGAGTATATGTTGACTTTGCAAAATTGGACTGAGAAAGTCAACGGTAACATTTCTGTTTTCTTCTTTAACGTTGATTTTTCTCATATCTAAATTTGCGAAATTAACGCTAAGTTGATGATTTAATCTGCACACATGATAATTAGGGAATAAATTTGCCGATTGCAAATACTTGAGGAATTAAATAAGCAATTTCCCAAATGTGACCTAGAATACTATTATAAGCAAGATAAATATATTCATTGTCTATTATTGTTGATTATTAGACTATAAACATGATTGTGTCTGATGGAGTTGGGGAAAGTAACTCCAAATTAGACCAGGCTTTGTTTTTTTTTTTTTTTTTCTTAGAAATTTGAAGCTGCTAGAATTTATTTTCGTTTTGCATTTTTCCATCTTTGCAAATCAATCAATACACATTTTCTTAGTCGTTGGAAGTCAAACAACAACTACCCTGCCCCTAGCCCTACCATGGAATAAAGATATAGCCCTACAAGCTAGTTTTAAGAACACCTAGAAATAATACACATTTTCTGAGTCCTTACAAGTCAACCCATACTCGTTTTCTCGTCTCACCTATATAAATATAACAAAGCTCACCGATTACTTCTTAACAATAACGAAGTAATACAAGAAGGAAAGAAAGTTTTTTTTTTTTTTTTTTGAACATTAAGAAGGAAAGAAAGTTGTTATCATAGATTTAAAAAAATGGGGAAAAGCCCTGCTTTAATGATCTTTCTCGTTTCTTCATTTCTTTTTGTCCTTCAGAACCTCGAAGTTGTAAACGCCATCAGGTGTTTCGGAAGCTCATTCAACGGCAACAGAGTTCACGCTCAGAATCGCCGCGATCTCTTCTCTACTCTTGCTGATAAAGTCGTCGCCAATGGTGGATTCTACAACGCTTCACTCGGCCAAGACCTCAACGAAGTCAACGCTCTTGTCCTCTGCGCAAGAGGCTACAACCCACAAGCATGTTTCAACTGTGTCGAAAAATTGTCTCAGGATACACAAAGGAACTGTCTTAACCGCACGGATTCGTACATTTGGGCCAGCGACGATGAAGACCGTGTTTCTTGTCTTGTACGTTCCTCAAACCACTCAACCTTCGGGAACCTTGAGCTTGATCCTCCTGTTGTATGGCCAAATCCAGATCGTATCCAGCCATCTAAAAACATGACTCTTTTCATACAAGAGTGGGAAGCAACGGTTAATCGGACCCTCGAGGCGGCCACAAAAGCAGAAACTTCCTCGGTACTCAAGTACTATAGTGCCGTAGAAGCCGAGTTCACGGAGTTTCCAAGTGTTTACATGGTGATGCAATGCACACCCGACATAACTTCCAAAGATTGCAAGCGATGTTTGGGAGATTGCGTGGCGTATTATAGAGAACAGTATCGTGGAAGACAAGGAGGGATGGCTAGTCGTCCGAGCTGTTTTTTCAGGTGGGATTTATATTCTTTCCATGGTGCTTTTGATAATGTAACAAGAGTTCCTGCGCCTCCTCGGCCTCAAGCTCAGGAAAAGGGGAGCTCTACAACAGACAAGATAGGTAACAAATGAGTTAATTACCACAATTTGTAAGTATGATAAAGAAGTTCTCAGACTAAAGAGGGTTAATAATTTCCAGGAAGAAGCATTGGGTATAGGGGAATCATCGCAATAATTTTGGTTGTCACTTTCATTAATCTTTTGGTATCTATTGGTTTCTTTAAAGTCAATGCTCGGAGGAGAAAATTAAAGAAAAGATTCAATGGTAAATGTACCTTCTTCTTCTTTTTTTTCTTCAATCCACCTTATGATGTAGAGAGTAAGACTCATTTTCTTCTTTTTAATTATATTTTAGTTGGTAGTGCAGCAGAGTACTCTGATTCTGATGATGGTCAATATATGTCACGGTTTGATCTTGGTATGATCATAATGGCAACCAATGACTTCTCGTCTGAAAATAAGCTTGGTCAAGGTGGATTTGGTACGGTCTATAAGGTAGTAATAACGTTTTTTTATTTCTTCGTAATAATGAATTATTTATTGATCTTGGTCGTGATCGGTAACAGATCTTGTAAACCGGTTTCAGGGGGTATTACTAAACGGAAAAGAAATAGCGGTGAAGAGGTTAACAAGAGGTTCAACAGAAGGAGGTATGGAGTTCAAGAATGAGGTTTCACTCTTGACAAGACTCCAACATAAGAATCTGGTTAAGCTTCTTGGGTTCTGTAATGAAGGAGATGAAGAGATTCTTATCTACGAGTTTGTCCCAAACTCAAGTCTTGATCACTTTATCTTCGGTGAGACTTCGAAAGAAACTCTTCTTACATGTAGAAACTCTTAGCAATAAAATGTTTCTTTGAAATCTGCAGATGAAGTGAAGCGTTCCCTTCTTACATGGGACATGAGGTTCAAGATTATAGAAGGCGTTGCTCGAGGACTTGTTTATCTCCATGAAGATTCTCAGCTGAAAATTATTCACCGAGACTTGAAGGCGAGCAACATCCTTTTAGATGCAGAGATGAACCCTAAAGTTGCAGACTTTGGGACGGCGAGGTTGTTCGACACTGACGAGACTCGAGCTGAAACAAAACGAATAGCTGGAACCCGGTAAGAATAAGAAACATATAAATATGATGTTTAAAAAAGAATGTTTGAGACATTCTTGGATCAAGCAGTGATGAATTAATTTGCATATATGTGTAGTGGATATATGGCTCCTGAATACCTGGCACGCGGGCAAATCTCAGCTAAATCTGATGTTTATAGCTTCGGTGTTCTGCTTCTAGAGATGATTAGTGGTGACAAAAACAATAGCTTCGAAGCAGAAGGACTTGCAGCTTTCGTAAGTTTCTTCACATGTCAGTCTTCTTGGTCCTCTTTTTGTATCTTATAACGGTATATATTATTTGTTTTTGTTCAGGCATGGAAGAGATGGGTTGAAGGAAAACCTGAGACTATAATTGATCGTTTCTTGGCAGAGAATCCGAGTAACGAGATCATTAAGTTGATCCAGATTGCTTTGTTGTGTGTTCAAGAGAATGCAACAAAGAGACCGACCATGAGCTCTATAACAGTTTGGCTTGGCAGTGAAACCATCACCATTCCTTTACCTAAGGCTCCTGCTTTCACATGGAGTCAATCCCAATCTGAAGATGGTACAATGTCAATGAGCAAGGTCTTCACAGAGCTGAGTTCTCGTTGAGTTGTAAATTTGTTAATCAATATGTTGTTTTTAAGCTACAGTATAAATTTTATAAATTAATACTAGTAAATACAGTAAATTAATAAATTCTTGTTATTCTAAATTGCGACTGTTAAAAATGTAACACCAATAGGTGAAATAATAACATAATAATTTTAAATATTTAGATATTGTTGGGCCGCAAAATATGAGTACGGCCCATAAGGGTAGGGTTTAACGTGTGAGCAATAGAAGCGGTAGGAACTCGAGGTGCATTAAATGCATTGTATCTACTAGAGAAGGCCGCAATGATAGCGGTTAGGAAAAGACGGAGCAGGTCAACAACCTTCCCTCTGACTACACGCATAGAAGAGTCTGGTAATGGTGATAATCATGGCAAAGGACAGAAGTAAAAACGACATGGGGAACCTAGAGACCTGAACCCGGTCCCAATCCGAAACTAGATATCTTCTATAAAAACACACTCCTCACGCCAACAAGAGAAGGAAGAGACATCTAGGACGATAACTTCATCTTCTAACTTTATTTTCACTAAGAACACAACTTCCAAAAGCTCTATCAAGATCCCTTCGAGTTGATAAAGCGCCCCATACTCCGTTCTTCCGATATCTTAACACGCTTTGTCCAGTCACAGGTCTTTTCTGACTAGAGCGTCGGAGTATAATCGGAAGGGCAACCCCTTTCCAGTTCACTGAGATTCTCCTTCCTTGTTCTTTCGTTACAGGCTGACCCATCCCCACATAGTTCAGATCTCCTCCACACGACCGACGACCAATCAGATCTCTCCACATGGTATCCCGAAATTTTCTCCCAAACAGATGTATAATTATCTATATTATTAATGGGATTATATATTTACATAAGAGTTTTAGAAAATTTATAATTTTATTATCTTATCGAGTTTTATTCATTTTTACATCCAACTTGAACCGGTAAAATTTATTAATTTATAGTAATTATTAATTTATCGAATATTAATTTATAAAAGTTTTATTATACATACAAACAAATATCATTAGGGTAAAATATCTAAAAGTTTCTAGAATAAAAGATTTTCTCTTTTTTATACCTTTTCTATATATTTTTTTTAATTATTAAAATATCCAATAAAAACTTATAGAGATCTCATCAAGGTACGTCTTCCCCTATTTCAACATTAAAAATATTATTTAAAAAAATAGAGAGAAAACCATATTGAGAGATAAAATAAAACCATTTTTATCAGTAGTATTGGTTAAGTATTTCAGTAATAAAAAAAAGAAAAATTGGGTCAAATAACCATATAAATTTCAAAAATATACAAACTAACCATAAAAAATAATGGCTATGATATTTTGTATATATTCTACAATATATACAAATTTATCCTTCTAATTTTTTTCTTTTCCCTCCTATTTTCTCTCCTCTTCCCTTTCACTTTTCCTTACTGTTTTCTCCTCTTCCTCCTCCTCCCTTTCCCCTCTCCTTCATCTCCCATCTTTTCCCCTCCCCACCTCCCCTCCCTACCTCCCTCCCCCGTCCTCTCTCATCTTCTCCTTTTTCCTATACAATATATATGAAACAAATATTTTATAAATAGTATAGTATAGCAGTATAAATTGATATAGTATAGTATAATAATGTGTTTATAAATTTGGTTTGAAGGGTAAAAAAAACATATGTTAGGATTTTTGGTTATTGAATGAATTATGAAATTAGTATGATTATATTGTTTAGTTTATGGTGTAATGTGGTTATATCACAAATTAACCCTAAAAAAAATAGAAAAAAAAAACAAAGAGAGAACCGTATTTCTAAGAAACAAGTAACAACCTTGAGAAATGTATCTCAGACATGGCAATCATTAAAGGGATTCTTGCAAAAATGACTTAAAATTTGATTTGAATTGCAAATCTAACCCACAAAAATCACCTTCCCAACATTTGCCATTTTGTGTCCAAACAATCCTTCATAGTTTCAGTTATTCACGAAATTGCCATTATTTTTAATTAATTTCTTTTATTTTCGGAAATCCAAATGACCAACTAATCCTCATCTTCCTCACTTATTTACGAAAATACTCCGAAAGTAGACTTCTCTCGGTCCGAATGAAGTCTACTAGTCAACGCCCAGGTTAGTTTTGCAATTGACCGCATGAAAAAGTAGACTTCTTTTGGTCCGAATGAAGTCTACTCAATTTCCTTTGATAACAAAAAAAAATAGAGTAGACTTCTCGAGTAGACTTCTTTAGAAGCACGTCATTTTTGCAATTGACCAACCTTTGACTTTGTAGAGTAGACTTCTCTATGCAAAGTAGACTTCTCCGAGAAGTCTACTTTTGCAAGTAGACTTCTCGCAGGTCATTTTTGCAATTGAAAAATATTTGACTTTTTGGTCAATTGCAAAAATGACCTGCGAGAAGTCTACTTATGGAAGTAGACTTCTCGGAGAAGTCTACTTTTCAGAGTAGACTTCTCGCAGGTCATTTTTGCAATTGACCAAAAAGTCAAATATTTTGCAATTGCAAAAATGACCTGCGAGAAGTCTACTTACGAAAGTAGACTTCTCGGAGAAGTCTACTTTTCATAGAGAAGTCTACTAATATTTTGGCAATTGCAAAACTAACCTGCGAGAAGTCTACTTTTATCCGAGAAGTCTACTTTTCGTGTTTTTAAAAAAACAATCATTTTTATACAATATATAACGAATTTTTAAGATTTTCGTGATCCTAAGCTTTTGTTATTAAGTTTTCTTGCTTATGTATAAGTTTTGCATGTTTATATTTTATAGGTATAGTCGAATGAATTTTCATATTTTATATGATACTTAGCTTATTAAGAGTAGACTTCTTAGTCTACTGTAGAAGTCTACTATGTAGACTTCATCCGACTTTCAGAGAAGTCTACTTATGCAATTTTGATGTCTAATGTGGTTTGGATTTTGCTCTTTTTTCACAGAGAATGGCTCACATACCCGCTGTTTATGGAGAATGGGTTAAGAGTGAATCAGTGTGGCAGTTCGAGGTGGATAATAGCAAAGGAGGGTGAATGTTTTTCTTAAGAGATGGCTGCACACATGGTGAGCTTCTTGGTGAATGTTGGCAAAGGAGGGCGAATAGCAAAGGAGGGTGAATGTTGTCACCTTTAAGTTATGTAAAATTAATGTCTTTAAGAAGTCTACTCGAGACAATGAGAAGTCTACTTCAGAAGTCTACTCGATACAAGAGAAGTCTACTCAGTTGACAAGTTATATGATATAAATGAAAGAAATGTCCCTCTGAATCACTTTTAAGTTATGTAAAATTAATGTCTTTTAGAAGTCTACTCGAGACAGGAGAAGTCTACTCGAGACAAGAGAAGTCTACTCGGTTCACAAGTTATATGATATAAATGAGAGAAATGTCCCTCTGAATCACTTTTAAGTTATGTAAAATTAATGTCTTTTAGAAGTCTACTCGAGACAGGAGAAGTCTACTCGAGACAAGAGAAGTCTACTCGGTTGACAAGTTATATGATATAAATGGGAGAAATGTCCCTCTGAATCACTTATAAGTAATGTAAAATTAATGTCTTTAAGAAGTCTACTCGAGACAGGAGAAGTCTATTTTGTAAAATAGATAAACATAGATAATTTAGGAATTTGATACAAAACATTCAATGCAATTCAACATTACATAGAAAATAACCCTCTAAACAAACAAACATTTAAGGATCACTAATTATAAATCTTAAAATTGGCATAAGAAATGACTAGTAAACTAAAATCTCTGAAAACTATGTATGCAACTGAAGTCTGCTTGAGAAGTCTGCTCGAGATCGAGAAGTCTACTCGAGAAGTCTGCTCGAGATCGAGAAGTCTACTCGAGAAGTTTACATTCAGATCTGCAAAAAAAATCAACAAAATTCAGCTCTGCAACAATAACGAAAAAATTAGATCTAGAACAAAATCTATAAAATTTATACAACAATAAACTCAGATCTACAAATATAAACTTAGATCTACAATAATAAGCTCAAATGTAAACTAATAAGCTCGGATCTACAATAATAATCTACTATATTTATAACATTCAGATCTGTACAAAAATCAACAAAATTCAGCTCTGCAATGATAACAAAAATTAACAAAATCTACAAAATTTACACAACAATAAACTCAGATCTACAAAAATAAACTTAGATCTACAACAATAAGCTCAAATCTATAATAATAATCTCAGATTTGCAATATGAACACAAAACAAATAAAAAGAGGAACAGAAAAGCTCAGATTTGCTTACCACTACCATAACCTGCAAGTGAGAGGAGGTTGAATGCAAGATAGAGAGGATGGAGAGGATATTGATAGCAAGAGAGGAAGGAGAAGAAATTCATGGCCAGAGAGAAGGGAGAAGAGAGAGAGAGAGAGGCGTTTTTTAGATAGAGAGAGACTTTGTTGTTAATACAATTAGGTTAAATTCTCCTTATATATGTAGGAAAAGATTCGTGTAAGTAGACTTCTCCAAGAAGTCTACTCGAGAAGTCTACTCGAGAAACCGAGAAGTCTACTCGAGAAGTCTCTTACTATTGATTTTTATCCTAATTTATCTATGATGATTTAAATTGATTATTTTCTGTCAAATTTTATTTTTAATAGGTGTAAAAAGTATATATTTATTGTTATGTATCTAATTTTTTTATTAAATTATCTTCTATGATTTTTAAAATTAATTGTAAACATATTATTAAAGAGTAGACTTCTTGGAGAAGTCTACTCGAGAAGTCTACTTAACTTCTCGAGTAGACTTCTCTGGGATAAAATAGTAATTGAGGTTGGCATTTTTTTGT